ATGCAACCAAAAACCAAGCTTTTCAACATTCATACTTTAATAATCATTTTAAAACCATAATAATTTACCAAAMATTTCAAAACACAATACTTTCAACTTTCAACTTTCAGTCCATGATCTCTATCCATTCTCTTTACCGTTTCACACTACTAACTACTTCTGTAACTGGTCAGTTTATAGGATATTTATAGGATATTTTATTTTACTTTTTATTTAAAATATAAAACAATTTTATAAATCAGTTTAAATAATATATTTTGATTATTAATTTTATGTTAAATTCAAATTAAAATATCGATTTTTCTCTATTTTTCAGACATAATGTCAAGAACTTTTTCTGAATCATCAGGCACATCTTTATGAATGGCCAACAACGTTAGTCCATTAAGACGGTCYTAGAAAATATRATCATAATATAACAAAAATGATTAAATATGGTTATAATAAATTTTCTATTTACTTCAGTCATTGTGTTTCTCAGATAGGTCTTAAGTCTTTTCAAACATGAGAATGTTCTTTCTGGAGTCGAGGTAGAGACCGGCAAGGTGCATAATATTTTTAAAAGTTGGTAGATGTTAGGGAAAATTTCAAAATTACATAAACGTAATGCATCTATAGCCGTTTTAGGAAATTTATCATTTTCCTTAACTTTGACTGCCATATCAAAAAAATAAAAAAATAATAATAACTTGTCAAAATTCACAAACATATAATATCAAAAGTAGACTAAACGTGTATTATTTAAATGTAAGAAAATAAAGATCCTTGGGGGGGGGATCTATCCCCCATATCCCCCCCCCCCGTGAGAACGCCCATGCAAATATATAAAAACATAAATTAACATTTACAATTACCATCAGATTGGGTACTTCGCTTTTCTGTTACAAGTGTTTTATTTTTTCTTTCCATAGAAATTTGCTCTTTTCGCATATTTGTATAATCAATGCCATACATAAATCCTATACGTCCTTTTTTTCGTTGATTTATTAAAAATAGTCTATCTGTT